AAATATAAATAGAGGATTTAATCATTAATTTTTAAGTTTTTCATGAATTTTAAATAATAAAAAAATATTAATAAAGACAAAAATTAATTTATAATATTAATCACAAAAAATATATTCACCTTGTAAAATTTACTCAACAAACTTACATGGTCAAAATCTATTTACCCGTAACTTTTACGCATTTTCATTAGTAACCAATCGTGCTGGTATGTAATCTTCATTGATGGGATGTGATGTCTTTGTTCCATTCGAATTTGTTGAGAAAGGACTAAAGGAGAGGTGTGGGAATTGGAAATGGACCTCCATGTAAGAAAATCATTTCTGATAGAATTTCATTAAAGTTAAAGCTGGACTCTCCTTAATCGATGATTTTTTTTTTCTTTTTCCTTTTGGTGAAAAGGAAAACCGGATGGAAGCTACCTGCAAACCTCCTTTCTAATTGCCGTATAATCAATTGAGTCCAATAAAGCATCAATTTCCTATTGTATTTTATTAACTCCACTTTACCTTTAAAAAATTAAAAAGAAAAAAAAGATAAAAATCACTTTATGTATGCTTTAAAAATAAGATAGTTTAATATTTTTCAATAAAAATTTATTAAAACGACATAATTTTGAGATGATATTCCTCTTAATTTTTAAGAGGTAAGATTGATAATCACTTTTTTTTTTTATTAATGATAATTTAATAATTTTAATATCTAAATTACACTTTTAATATAAAATTTAATTTTCTAAAACATGTATTACATATATATAGAGCATATTCTTTCTTCTTCTTCTTTTTTTATCTTAAGTTATATAATGAAAAGCAACTTTTACATATTCCTTAATTAATCCACCTTATCTCGTGTCATTTGATTTAAACTTATAATTTTTTATTTTGAACGAAAAAGATTATTATTAAATTATTTAAGTCGTTGACATGATGCTCTCATGCAAGTCTTATACATAAATTTTACATAAAATCATAATCATTCTTTTCTCATTATTAATTAGTGAGATTAATCATAATTTTTTAAACAAAAAATAATTAACTTTAAAAATAAAAATAAATAAAGATAAAGCACAAAAAAAAAAAGCAAAGACAATCTAATTCATGTTTTAAAAATAAAGTATCTTAATTTTTTTAATGAGAATTTATTAAAATAATATAGTTTTAGAGTAATTTTCTTCTTAAATTGGTATCCACTTATATATATTATTTATATAAAATCTTCACTATTTATTTTTTTACTAT